TGGTTTTAAGCTCGGCAACTATAGCTATTAGCTGTTTATCCGGGAAACAGTAAGTTTGGAACACATTTTGTATGTTTGGCTAAAATGTGTAGGTAGTCATTCATCTGGGAGCTATAAACACCACGYCGTCCAGTGCGTACACTTCGAGAGCCTACAAAACTAAATGTAAACACCTGGCCCACTAAACCACAAGCAAATAGTTTGATCTCGATGAAAACAGATTTTTTAAGGAATATTTGGATTGAAAAATTAAGCCGAATGCTAATTTCTGTTGTGTGTGGACATTTGGTTTAAAATATTATTAATAATTAAAGGGCTAATTTAAGCTCTAAGCCAGATCTCACAGCTAGGAACCAATTGAAATAATTGATAGTTCGTCATCACTTTTGAAGTCGTATCAATGTATAAATGTATAATAATATTATGATTTGAAAAAAAATAATGCATTATGTAGGGTAGTGAATGAGAAGTGTTTATAATAATAACATTCTAGGTGGTTTCGATGAATTATAGTCTTTATTTATACTATTATTATATTTTATCAGAGTATATAATATGTTGACCAAATTTGTACTTTATACGTACATTTATCATTTTTGTTATTGTAAAAATTAGGTTTATTATAGGTTATAGGTACACAGTAGAATTGATGGAAGTTGATTATTGAGATTTATATTGATGTTTAAAGTTGTCTAATTAGAACTTTTTTCTGGTCTTCAACTTATTGAAATTTAGTGTGGCGGTTTAAATGAGTATATATTTACTGAGAATGCTGCAGCCATTCGGCCCAATAATATTTSTTAACTTTTAATTAATTAATAAAACACAATAACTATATGATTAATTTACAGGCAAGACGACTGTTAACGACGAGAAGAATGTCACGACAAGGCCAAGTCATTAAAAGTTACAAAAGTCTTAAAAAGTTGAAGCTTTCTTGGACCACGCAATGGTTGTGGAATTTAAAACATGCACTCTTGTCGCCTTTCAGAGAAAGTATAGCACACTGATGTGCAATGGAGCAAATGTAAAGAACCTAACATTATCTTATTAAGAAATTATTAATTAGAGGGCTTTGCCTTTGAGAAATTCCTATTCAAAAAAGTTATGGTTAGGTTATAAAACATGAGCATGATTCGTTACGTTGTATAGGACACGGATGGTAGGAGTTATGTAGTATTATTACGATTGGTACGAGTTTGAAAGTAATGATAATTATATTTGAAAATAAGTTTATTATGCAGTTTTATGCATACTATAAAATGATAAAATAATGATGTGGTGCTCAAAAAAATCGTGTCCATTTTAAAAATGTTTAAATTGATTTAATATTTTTAAATAAATAAATTCTGTACAGGTCTGTACTAGYCTTATCTTGAACACGATATTAAAAATATTATATACTCATTTTTGTTTTATACCAGGAAAAATGTTTTAATAAAAAGTTATTAATGGTATAGATAGATTATGCCTTCAATCAATATTATATAATTTGAATAATTCAAGCGCACAAGAACACAATAACAAATAGAAAATTCCATCTAAATTGGCAAGTTCTTGTATCAAAGCAAAATAACTTAAGACCAAACATGTTTTTATGTAAGTTGCAACTAAAATGCAAGGCCTAATGGCAAAAATAAATATTATTATTATTATGACCTACGGTGGATTGGATTTCAAGTATTTGGATGTTTGGCTTTTCATTTTATCGTTCAGCAGTTTAACAATTAAACATATATATATATATATATTATTATTATTCACTGTAGTAAAGAAGCATAAAATATATCTACCCATAATAAAAATWAAATAAAAAAGAAGCAACAATTCATTTGGAGGCTATATGAATATTAAAATGAAGAAATTCATATAATATATGTATATTGTTTATATTTTAAGGATAATAATCCTCTAGAATTTTTTAATTTGCACAGATTTTTTTGGGTCATACTACATATTATTCAAAGTTAGTTCATCATAAATTGAAACACTGTGACGATGTCTTGATCATTATTGGATAAATTAAACATAGCCTTTTTTTAAATACTTTAAATTATATTATCATACACAAAATAATAAATTCTTCAATTATTTATGGAATAAAAAAATTTCTATTCAATTATAGAAGTTTTCATATGAGTAGCCAATTGTGCACACTATATTATTTATTATTATTATTTATTTGAGATATACCTACTAATAATTATTAAAAACAATGATGTTTTTTTTTTTCGTAACTTGTGAAGATTAGAGTAACCCAACCACCTGCAACTCATTTCTACAAAATATAAACACTAT